GCAACAGCCATATCAGCCTTGTGGACAGCATCTTTACCTGCCATTTCACTTTTAATAGATGGTTGAGATGCAAGAGCTGTTCTTGGAGCGAAGTAGTTTTGAATCCCACTTGCATTTGCCTTCCTTTTTTTGCCCATTTCCGTTGAAGTTGCTAACCCCTTTCCTTTGAATTGTGATTGTTGTGCTGCTGAAGATGGGATCTCTTGCAAGTCCGGTGCATTTCCCTCGGGATCCATGGCACTAGACCCGAATGGATTGTCTTCCCATTGGTTTTGTGTTTGCCTTTTAATTTCTTCAATTTCCTTCAAACTCTCTTGCATCCGATAACGAACATCAAATGACACTTTCTCACACTTTCTTATGTCTCCATATTTTCCCGCAATGTATTATTTTATTCTATGTATTCCCCCTCCTCTAAATGTTCTTTGGCAATGCAAACATTTTATTACTTTTCTTGCACCATCCATAACTTCTACACAACACTCCCATGTGCCCAACTTTTCTTCTTCCCAGAAAAATATTACTTTTATCTTTTATCTTTTTTTTTTTTTGTTTCTTGGTTTTAGAATTAAAGAGTAAAAATAGATAATTACTTTGGTAAAAGCAACGCTAAGGGCAGTCGCCTACTTGCACACTCTCGGGCGCACTCGGCTCTAATCGTGACAAAAACTACTCTTGTACCGGGAACAGGGAAATGGCTGTAAACCTTCATTAGTTTTCTTTTTTATTCGGCCGTCCTAATCGTAAACCTACCTAGTTAATTTTTTTTAAAAATAATATTCTTTAAATTTTCATTATTGTCTTTTTATTTTTCCTTCTTATCTTTTCTTTTCTTTTTTGTATGAATAAAGATAAAGAAAAAAATTTTATAAGATTAAAATTGGCATAAATATGACATAAGGACCCAAACTTATACAAAATTCGCAATGTTGGACCCAAACTTCAATTGCACTCAATTAAGGTCCCGAACTCCAGGAAATTCTCAAATAAATTCCCAATTGGACGGAAAACTAACTTCCGTCAAATCTAACAAACACCGTTAATGGCTTCTTGACGCAGTTCGTCATCGGCTTCCGTGGTGGCGTTGCACCTGCAGGTCCTGCACGCCTTTGCATGTTTTTTTTTCCTTTACTTTCATTTGTTTTTAGTAATAATATTTTTTATTAATTAATTATTTTTTAAATTAATGAATTAATATTATATAATATACATATCTTCAATTATTTTTAATAAAATAATGAT